CAGCTCTATTGATGATATCTCCATGTCATCGTTTCCGTCTATCCAGCATTATCTCTCTTGGTCTGCCTCCACCCCTTTTCCACTGACCTTTCCAGTTGTCAAGATATTCTCCAATGTCTCTTTTCTCATGGCCAAAGAAAAGTGTTTTTCTCTTTCTTATTGTGGTAAATAGAGATCTGCTTTAATTTAGGGTTAGCTTTACAAACAATGTCTTTATAGCTTCAGGGTTGTGAATGCAGATTTACAATCCTGACATACATGGATTTGAAGTCAGCTGCAGGTAAATTTCTAATGAATAACTTCGCATTGACCAACCGTAGGAGCCTAGACTGTTTAGTAAGCAATGGCAAACTACTAAATGCAAAACTGGCTCCTAAAGTCAAACAAGAACCAATAAATGTTATGGTTAGTTCATGTCATCCTGGAAATCACACGCAACAATTTTATGTGCCCTCTTGGTGCTCTGAAACAGGTTGACATTAAACAACCTCCAGACCTGAGGAGTGCTACAATTGTGAAAGTGCCAGATTTTTTTAACAGAGAAGGACGAAAACAGTACCATCCTTTATATAACAAATTAACAATAAATGAATAGCAAACGCAAGTTTAATGTGAGAAATAAACTTTAGCAGGTTTTCATTGCTTTTAATATCACACATTGTTGGAGAGCCAATTTTGTATGTTTCACATCTATATGTGTGTTCCATTGCCCTATTTTTGGAAGAGGTAGTTATAAAAGGAATAAACTCCCTGACTCCCCTATCAAGCAAGTCAGAAAAGGTGACTGGTCTGTTCCATGATAATCTCCCCATGTTACACACTAGCTCAATTCTAATTGGTCGACCTCCAGTCACCTGACCTTTGCACACTGCTAGGGGGGTGCTAAGCAATGCAGTTGATATCCCGTTTTGTATATTTAAGCACGCCAGCGCTTTTAACACTACTAAACGTTTAGAAACTGGGTCTAACCCACAACCACCCGAGAGAGTGTTACAACCTATGTCACAGGCATTCTCTTTCTCAGATAAAAAAACGTAAAGGCAAGACAAGCCAGAAAGGAAACAACATAGCCGTAGCCCCCCGGACAGCAGACAAGTCTAAATAGTGTATCAGTGGAACGTGACCTAATTCGGCTGCGGAGATTATCGTGAAACTAACTAGTTTACTAATTAGGGATGTTTTCTCCAAAGTCAGAGTGCATTTGCCTGAGAGGCAAGGAACCAACAGTCTATATACGAGTAAGCAGATCTGTAAAACAGATGTACAAGCGAAATTCAAGTTTAGAACAAGACTAAAGTTAAAAAGTGGATGAACAACAAGAGCTTTTTACCAGAATTTTTAAACTTAGTCATCCCCTGTGGGATGCAATTTTTCGTTATTTTGAAGCCATGCCCTGGATCTTGCCAGGGGCCACAGTATAGCCCAGCCATAAATATAGCCTAATGGCTGAACGCGGTTTCTGGGACCTCTCCATGGGTCATCCTCAACCACATGGTGGCAATTTGTGTCATCTGGTGTTTATCACTTGTGTGATGTCATGGTGGGATAAAAGTACTACTACTACCAGAGTTTACAGATGATGAACACTAAAAAGAAGAAGAACAATTATATTTCACAAATGGTTCTCACAGACACACTGCCATCAAGTTTAGCACTTCCACTTTCTCTGCAATCAGCAATTCATGATATATATGTTTTACATCACCTCTTTACTTTGATGAATTCATAATGAGGCTATACAGCAGCCAAAAAAATATAAAATGAGAAGCAATAAGTAGGAATAAATTTAAGCACCTACCAAGAAAGACCTAACAGCTGATTCCGGAATACAGCGCCATCAAAACATCAACAGTGCCTCCCAAATGCAGTGGCGCTATACAGTAAATTTGAAAATGCACTCTGAAATTCAGCTAGAATAGTGAAGGAACTAAATTAACATAACATAACCCTTGACCTATTAGGGTCCGGAGCTGTATTGATTGAAGCACTAGCACATCAAACCCGCCATCTTTCTCTGTCCTCCGCTTGATGAATAAGTGTATGATAACTTAGTCCTGTTCATTTCTTGATGTTGTCATTCCGTGTTCTTCTTTGCCCTCCTCTTCTTCAACTACGCACCAGTTTTCCTTGAAGTACAGTCTTTGCAATCGAATCATGTCTCACCACCTGCCCAAACCAAGCTAGTTTGCCACGTTTCGCCTCTGTCAAGAGAGGCTCCTGATGTCCCGCAAATTTGTATATTTTGTCTCTGGAAGTAAATTATCTATGGCTGGATTCTTGAATATCAGCCTTTACTGATAATCTGTAACTAAAAGGGCTAGCCTTATAAGGATACACAATAGTATTAATTAAGCAAGATACAAGATTTTGGGCATTTTAATTAAAAGTCAAACACATTTTAGATGAATATGATACACTTAAAATCATGACTTCGGTATCAGTTTAAAATGTTAAACATATCTCAAGATTCAAAACAATGTTCTTCTGTTGTAAATTTAAATAATGCGGACACAAACAATACATTGCAGATTTTATTGCCTGGTAAATATCACTGTATTTGGTCAGGTGCGAGACTACCGAGATAATTCAACATATAATAAAGCACAAATTGAATCATTTTCTTGCTGAAATAAATAAACCACATTGTCGAATTTCTGTACATCTATCCGCAGGAAATTCAAAAATCAGTAATGTAATTACTGTGGTAACTTCAAACTGCCGCCTGATCTTTCTGTTTACATTATATAGGTGAGTAGTGTTTTATTGATACAGCCTTGATCACTTTTAGCAAATATCTATTCATTGAAATATCCCAGGCGATAAACTGTTGTTTGTGTCCACATTATTTAAATATCACAAGATCTTAAAAAAGACAATTATATTTTCAGACATGTATATACATTAAACCTGACTCGTAATTCCAATGTACTCTGATCGAAACCCACTGCTGACTGCGTGGATTTTTATCATGGTATGTGGCATCGCAGGTATACCCAGCCTAAAAAGGGTACCCAGCCTAAAATGGGTACCAGGATGTATGTTCTGGGAAGTAAAGACAGCTGGCATAATGCTGATCACCTTACCCACCTAGTGCTGATTGGTCTGGTAAAATATAGGCGCTTTTCCCTTATGCCTGATGCGCCTAAAGGCGTTACAAATGATCGTTATGACTTTTAATATATTAAACTTATATATAGATATATATATAACCGACCTTTTTTACACCATCAGCACAGCAGGAATCTGATGCCAGACATATTTGTGTAGACTACTCAGTAGTGACATGATCACAATCACACTAGCTGCCTTTCTTTCACATGACATTACAAAGTAAAGTAAGTAAAGGTAAAGGTCCCTTTTCCACACCTATAGACATATAGGGCATATAGGGCTAGACCTTTATTTTTATAGACTAATTGGCATAAGATGGGTGATGTGGTCAGCATGATGCCAGGGACTGGTACCCACTCAAGGCTAGGTCGACCTGGGAGTCAGGGTCATTTTTAAAAAAGTCTGGCACCGCCAGGGAACAAAACCCATGATCTACCGATCTGCACGCGGGCGTCTAGTCGCTACACCATGGCGATTCCCAATGGTACCTATTTTAGGTTAGATTGATTGTGGAAGCCTAGCTCAATTTGGAAGAAATCCACCTAAATGGAGATTCCAGCCCAAGACTAGCAAGTCTGCAATTATGAGTTGTAAATTAAGAACCAACATCAAAGCACTTGGGACATTTCCATAAGCATTCTGTCCCTATCTTCAGTAGCAAGAGCAGAATTAAAATTCCAGTGGTAACAGCACCAGTCTGAGTGTTTTTTTTAATCCAGCAAGCCTCTTTCCTGACCCAGATCCCCAGGTCACTAGCATGCCCTGGAGAATATCCAGGTTAGTAGACAAGAGCCCCATTCACAACTATATAGTTGCTCCTAGAATCTGGTTCAAGAATTACCATTCATACAGGGTAATGTTTTTATTTCCAGAATCACATCAATAAAATTGTTGAAAGGCAAAACATTAATTTTATACAGAGATTTAAAAAAAAAAAAAATTATGCAGCAAATAATTTAATTAAAAAGAAATAGTCACTTCCATGTGCATGGTTTATGAGAAACTGTATTCACTAGACAAACAAACATATGTTAACATTGAAATATGTATATTCATTTTCACTAGATTTCAGTGTTTTTCTGTCATAACAAGTATTTAAATGTCACTTTCATATACAACGGTACCTCGGGTCACAAACACCGCTGTGCATGAATAAATCGTCGCATGAATATAATTTCCAAACAAATTTTGACTGTCCATAAACAATACCTTAGTGCACAAACATGGCTTTGCTGCTATTTTTTATGGCTATTGAAAAGCATTTTGCTGCACTCAGGTTTGCTGCATTAAAGATGGCTCAGGCCAAAAGAGTAAATATGTTAAACAAAGCAAAGTTCTAAAATGTCTGAATTAGAAAACATATTGTTTGTCACTAAGCCAGAAATTCAACTACTTCTCAGAATATAAACCAGAGAAGAAATAAGACAGAAATACCTACACACTTACTCAAAATTATTATGGAATAGAACTCTCCTTTCAAAGCCTATTCTTCCTCCTCATTCTCCTCTACCTTCTACCTGTGCTGGCAACTATCAACCACAAACGTAACGTTATAATTGTTTTTTTTACTTTATTTTTGTCCCACAAAAGTCAAAAGTCAACAGCGATGCAAACAAAAAGAAAACAATATATTTCTGGGGTGGGTGAACAGATTTATTAGATTTGCATTGATTTCAATGGGAAAACTTATTTCAGCTTGCGAACATTTCGGTTTGCAAACAGTGTCAAAAAATAATTTAAGTTTGTTACCCAAGGTAGCACTGTACATGTTTTATAGGAAATTACACTCAAACTGACAAATAAACATATGTTGACACTAAAGTCTGCGAAATCATTTTATAATATTTTCAGTTATCTTCTGCTATAATAAGTATCTAACATAATGCTAGTTATGCGTCACTAATGACTTCATTTGAAGTGGGATTTCTGGGATGATCTGCTGGCTTGACCATCATCAGAACAGCCTTGAGTGATGAGTACATATGTATGGTATTCCACTGTATGCCATCACGCTGGAAATAGTTCTTGTGGAAGCCTTTATGATAGTATTTGCCATTGAGGTGAGCTTCGAAGCAGTTGTTGAACCACCATGCTCCTTGATAGTGTTGGGCACATGAATCATAGAACCTGTGAATGGACAGGATATTTGTGAACATTAGAATGATTGATTGACTGAATGGCAGATGTTTAACCCTATCAGGACCTCACAACAAGCAACAGAGCACCTTGTTACACAAAGTGTCACCATTATGATGAGAATCACCTGTGCACAAGTCTCAGAAAACTTGTTCAAATATTTGGTTATATAAAAGGTTAAAGTTTAAGCTAAAATCGAAAGGATTGACTTCACTGAAATTGGTTTTATCCCATATGGCTCAGTTTCTCTCCAAACTCTGTAGCTCCAGCAATGATCCCCATTAAAATTGCACTCGTGAACTGAAGGGTGCAGCCATGGAACCAACCCATGACTTTCAGAGCGCGAGGCAAGCGGCTTGGCCACTTCGCCAAGGAGATTCCCGGTTATGTTATATTAGGTAAATTCAACAGTCGCATATGCTCCAACAATACTTGACTGTACGAGGGACTAATTACTGGCAGTCGACCTGCTGTCGTGGAGTGAACAGCCAACCCTACACGATGGACGAGTCGTGATGATGACTTTCCTTAGCGGGCAGTCACATTTCAAACTTAAACCCTTGATGTCCAGAGATCAGGCTCCGAACATTAAACCTTTCCCTGTGCAGACTAAATAGTTTGTGCTTTACATAACCCACACCATTTGTAAAGATATTAAACCCTACAAGTAATTATTCTCTGACTAGATAAACGAAGTTTTGTGCCTCCTAGCAGAAATATGGAATCTGGGTCATCTTTTAACAGTTAACTGCTGTGACGTCAGAGAGCGAGTCAAAGGTGTGTTTGGCACAGAAATATTGGGTGTGTAGTAGCAGCCTGTGGAGACGTGATATATATATATATATATATATATATATATATATATATATATATATATATATATATATAGGTACTAAGGGGGTACATTGTATGTCTGCGAGTGCAGATGTGAGGGTGGAGAGAGGATGATCATTGTGTGGTAGTGTCTATCTATCTCCACCATATACCTTGTCTTCTATCTGGTGTACTAATTTACAGACAGATAAATGAAAGGAGACATTGTCTCCTGTTCTTGAGAGTTTCACTCTGAGGAATGGAGAAGGGTAGCAGAGTGTGGGGTGAGCTGGTGTGTGATTAAAGTTGACTACTAATTCTGAGTTCTTTCCTGACAGGATGGTAACTCCTTAGAGATCAGGCGGACGAATCACACTCCAGCCAACAATCACCAACCCAAACCATTCTGGGCACCAAGTACACCCAAAAGTCCTGTATATTGTTGCCACTACCTCAACATGGCAAGAGTTTGTTTGTGAGTTCCAGGACTGGTGGACAATTGCAGACACTTATGTCATCAATCCAGAGAAACAGTCTTCAAGAGCTTTGTTGGGCTCTTATGCAGTTCTTGTGTCCGCACCAGTGAGACAGTCAGAGGGTACCACAGTCTTCAAGAGCTTTGTTGGGCTCTTATGCAGTTCCTGTGTCCTCACCTGTGAGACAGTCAGCTTGTACCAAATCAAATCGAGGCATAGCTACCTATTGAGTCAACCACAGTCAAATCACCATGGACTGAGGAGAGCAGTGACCTGCGAACTGGGATAAGTGATCTATTAATTACAATCATGCTTTCTTCCCGCGGCTCCTTGTGATTCCTATGATGAACTCATGTAATATCACGAACTACATCTGGCTGCCTCAGCATCTGGGTTGTGTCATTGATTCCTGAACATTCTTGATGATCTATTCATTGATGTATATATAATGTACTTATTACATGTAGAAACTTTCATGGCTGACTTGGGTGTCCCTGTTTCACCATTCTAACTGTCTAGCTTTTATGTTTGTGTGAGTAATAAGTGTAATCTGTGTTAACATGGTTATGATAGTATACTATCATAACCTGGGGGCTACCTTTTTATAGTAGTGGGGGTGTCCAGCCAAGTGTGCTTAGGAATATTATATATTTTGTATTGCCCAAGCTTGAGTTGCCCTACTCCTGGAATAAGTTGACCGTATATTGGCCACGGGGTATCCCTTAGACCAATACGAGCCAACGACTCAACATTATTATTTCAGAGTGCTGTTGGTTCTTAAGAAGAAATCCTTAAATCAGGCACGTGACAGGAGCGGTATGTGACACCTGCCTGGTTTCAAAAAATACCCTAAGTCAATCTAAAAGACAGGTCTGAGACGAGATATGGTGCTACACTCTACGGCAGAACGTCAGCTCATCCCGATAGAGCTAAGCATGCCGTATGAGTCATGGATGGGAAAAAATTATCTGTACAAGCTCGAAAAGTACAGCGATCAAGTGGCTAGTCTAAGGAGCGATGGGGTGTACACAGTAAAGCTCTTCGCCGTTGATGTGGGCGAACGAGAGCTATTTTGCACCTCCACAAACAATGTACTAAAGCACCTGGGCTTGCGAAGAAAGTAACCGAAACGGGCATTAAAACAACTGGGTGAGTGGCTGAAACGGCTCCGTTCTGGCTTTGGACATAACGGAATGTCGCATGGGATGGGTCTCGGTAGACTGGTCCGAGTCGCTAGTTCAAAAAAAAAAAAAAAAAACCTTACATCCAAAAGCCAAAGTGTCTGATTAACCTCTGCCAGTGTCTCGCTGCCAATTGCCAAAGTCTAACATCTGTCCGAAATACCGACCGTTCATATTACACTCTGGTCATGACGGCAGTTGGCTAATTTGCTACCGCAGCGACAATATATACCACTAAATCTTAGAGTACCTGTTGCAAAGCCACCTTTTCGTCTTGTCCGAACGTCCGTTAAGCGCAACAGGAAATGTCTGAGGCCAGCAGTCGTGAACCAGGTCGGCCACCCTCCGAGAGTGTCTAGGAGGATAATGGGCTGAAACAGTTGTTAAGGACCCACCAACTGATGAACGGTAGACTTCTGCTGTGCATGCTTCAATTTTGGAGTTTTTATTATATTATAGGACCCATGACGACAGCCGGGGTAGGGCTTTAAAATAATAAACAATTGTGTCTGATACTGGAAGGCAGACCAGTTAAAATATACGACTATTCATACCTTCATTCATTTTAAAAACGTTGACATAAATTTGAAATGCCAGTAACTAACTACTTTTAATCAGAACCATATAAAACTCCAGCAAATGATATAGAGACAACAAACCTTCCATCATTGTCTTTATCTTTGGTACTAAACGGCATTCCGTCATGATTTTCCCATAAAGATGTCAGTGAATCCCCAGCGTTGCCTTGGTAACCAGACACATGTAGTCTGTAGTTGTGTTTGGGTCCGTCAACCCGGAAGTGGTTGTAAACCGCGTAGAATCTTTTCCCGCTCCAGTCCTCCATGTCAATTCGTAACATTGTGTCTTCTGGAATTACATGTAATGAAAAGGTAACTTATAGTGACAAATATGCATAGGAAATTAAAACTAATTAAATTAGCGCTGCAACTGATCTCTTAACCGCAATAGCAACGTTGCTAAAAAAAAAAAAAAAAATTCCCTTTGATCCAATTTTATGGTTTGAATCCGCAAACAGCTGGGTTTTTAACTGTTGTTCGAGAGATCCAAGATAGAATTCCACCCCACACCCCCACCCCCACCCCCACCCCAATAAAGCATGTCGTAAAAGTTAAATAATTAGGGGTGTTGCCTTCGAGGTCAGTGTGCATTTACTTGCTAACAGTCTGCATGTAAATAATCCAGATCTGTAAAACAGATGTGCACACAAACCGCAAATTTTGCAAATGCAGAGGTGGACGAAAACCAAAAACTGTCCGCTGGAGTTTGCAGCCACTGAACGTTAAGAAGAACACTTAGAAGGATTCGAACCCATCACGACTGGACCGGCAAGTATACCTGCTAGCCTCTACTGCCGCTGATTCAGGAAGTTT